GCACGCTTTTCCATCTTGCGAGACGACGTTCTCGAACGGATGATCAAGGTAAAATCCCATTTCGTAGAATTCGTTTCCTAGCCGAGGAAATCCCCCTCGACCCTTTTCCACGCCTTTACCGGCGTTGACAAGATATTCTACTCCATGTTGCCACGTATTATTTGAATCTGCGTCCCTTACGTACAGACACAACTTGAATTTGCCGGGGGTGGGAAACTGCGCTCTTAGTTTAACTTTGTTCACCCCACAAGGAATTACTTGCGTCCACTTTCGTCCTTCGAGCTCTTTCCCCGAGGTATCTTTTAGACCACCTCGCAATATTTTCAAAGAAGGCGAGTAAAACATCATGTCTATGTTATCCGCGTCCTTGATGGTGTAAATGCTTTCTTTGTGGCTTAACAGCTCGACTCCCACCTCGTGAATCCTTCCAGAAGGCACGACCAACTTTTCGAATTCCTCTTTGCTGATTGGCTGGTCAAGGAACTGCCATTGTTCATCCGCTGGATAATGACTACAGATAGCGTATTCTGGATCCATTAGGAACATAGCAACGTTGGGGCTCCGATGAAATAGCAAATCATTCCCCAAGTAACCAGCCCCCCATGTAGGCTCGCAGATGAACCATTCACGGTTGACTTGAATTGCGTTCCACGCATGATTTGTGTTTTTAAACTGCTGACCGGGCTCAAAACCATAACCTTTGGCATAACCTGAAATGGTATGAACTTGCAATCCCGCCGCTTTAGCAAGACCTTCAAAGAGGTTTGCATAACCTGCACATACGCTAGTTCTATGCTTCAAAACGCTGCTTGCGTTACCCTTTTTCTTCTCAGCTCTACCAAAGAACCCTTCGACGTCATAAGCGACATTAAAGCTCAACCAGCGAAAAATCGCGTACGCCTTGTGTCTTTCTCCTGACCAGGGATGAGTCAAATACTGGCTAAGCCTCTCGACGCTTTCCGTCTCCTCCTCCGGTGTCGACAGCACGTGCGCGTCGATCTTCTTTTCGACTCCTGTACGTTGTTGAAATCTCTTAAGCCGAATTCTGGCGAGAAACCGGCGCATGCTCGTTTGGATAAAAGTAATCGTCTGAGGCGAAACACTCGAAGTCTTAGTAATGGCATCAATGTCCGTGTGATGAAAAACTGATGAGGGACGAACAAACAAGCCATGCCTTTGCTTACAAAGAAAACGCTGAACACCTTGGAAGCAGCCATCGTGCCCCTGAGGGTGACTTCGGTCGAGCTCAATTCCGATCCATTCACCGTCGCCTAGGTCGCTCAATTCATCAATAAACTTAACTGTTCCAACATATCCCGACACGTGAACTCGATCTCCGACGGAAAACCCATGTTCCTGGTGATGGATGCTAGCTTCTGTTAAAGGCTGCTCCGCGAGAACTTCCATTATCGGCCTGTCATTGTTGTTGTCAAGCGAGTTCGGTGTAGCACTAACATTTTCATTAGTTTCTGTCTCCCGAATGCTCGGTTTATCATGACCTTCGTTTGAGGTAATAACTGCTGTCTCGACAGATCTCGATGTTCCACAACCCATTATTACCGGATAAAATCGCAAATATTTGATTTTCTTGTCCCTACCTGACAAATTTGTTTTTCCCTGCCGGCTGACAACCGTGATTTGATTTTTAATAAACGCCGCATAATCATAAATTTACGGTCTACAAATGGACCGTTGCAAATGACAACAAACGATTTATCATGCACGAGAAAAGAATAGGTCCATAAACCTTATTATTAATGGCTTGACAATTTTATCTCATGGTGTTTCAAAAAGATAAGTATAGACTCTTTGTAAATTGCCGAAATAAAGATATGTTTCTCTGAAATAAGCGCGGGTTTGCTTATCTTTCTTACACCTAAAAGTTTTCATAATAAAGTAATTTTTCTTGACATACAGTCAAACCAGGTCAAGCGTACCCCCCAAGAAGCCATTAATGAATTTATTATTCAAAAGTTGAATCCGTTTCTAGTTGTAGATTTCAGATTGATCTCTGCATTCTTGTATGTGTAATGAGCCGTGAATTCACACGCGAGGCAGTTATGAAATTTCTACCAGCTCCATTTTCCTGAAATTGATGTAAATGTCTTCTAAGAAGCGTAATCCATTCAAAGATTTCCAGTCTCACCAAATACAGAGAAGTTCTCGTAAAATATTCACTGCTCATTACGCATGCAGAAATGCCGCTTTGAATTTGACACCAGTTACGGGAACGACTAACGAATTCATTTTTCAAATAATCAATTCACTGATAGAATCTTGGGGGGTACGCTTGACTTGGTTTGACTGTAATAGTTGCGCGTTGCCAAGCCGGTGCTTTTAAAATATAACTAACAACGTTTGAGCTTTCTGCTAGACGGTTTTGGCAAGCCACCTCTAAATCTAATAACACCTTAATTACTTTGAAAAAAAATCGATTTTATAGTGACTCTTAAAACGAGAAATCCATCTTTTGGGATCGGAAAAGACAATTAAATTTTTTTTGAATTAGGTCTTCCGTCAAGATGTTGTACATCTATACCACATGGATTGGAAAAGAGAACTCTTTCATTGTAAATGACGCCATACTTAAATCTTTCATTCTAATTCACGCGTCAACGATTCTTTTAAAGGAATGTTGTTTTACATGTTAATAACATTAGAATAGTAAACCGATAGATAATCACCGTGACAACAATATAAACATATCAACTCGGGCACAAAACAAGGAAAGATGCTGGTTCTAGGCGTACCTTAAACTAATGACGTCATGGACCATCGGTTATGGAATATCTACATCAGTCTGAGATGTGACGGAGCCGAACGAAAAGCTACCGGTATAGTATGAACAGTAAAGCCACAGAATTGGAACAAGTCGTTCCAAATGGCATCGAACATCGTGCCAAAAATCCCAAATCTCACCCCTAAATATTTACTTTCACCTCAGTGGGATACAGTCCTTGTTCCTACTTGTTCCCTTCCGCTACAGTCCGAATACCTGTTCACTCTACACCAAAGTGCGGCACAGAACCTATCCCACAGGTGACGCTCCACTTTCCAGATCGTTGCGGCGCAGCTTCAATCCGTTACCCAAAAGTTGGCCCAACTTTTTCAAGTTTAACCCCAAGTCCATCTTTGCTATCCGTAGCAACAGATGACAGGAAACAGACTTTTTAGCAACCTAAATAGCCAAATAACAAACCATGACCATTATTTAATTTTTTATGCGAAGACAAGGTTTAGCTTTTCAACAGATAGCAAACAGCCTGACATAGCCCCATTAAAAATGAAACAGTAACAGGAAAATTTTCCAAGTAACTTAAACAAGAGATAACTTTAAGATCGACTGATGCTTTCCATGCCATTGCTTTCGTAGTTATCCCTTGCCTGGCATCTTATCCAGGGGATAGGGGTAGGGGAGATTGTTGTTTGGCCGTGTAGGTCAATAATTATGTGGACTGGGCCATGCCGATTCAATTTATGAATTAAATTTTCTTTTTACTACCAACTATTGAAACAGACTTCAGCCAAGGACATTTGAACAACGAATTTATTATTTACAACAAGGTAACAAAAAAGGAATGCAAGTTTTAAGCACCTGTACAAGTTCGAGTTGAAAGAGAGATGCAGTGTAATTGTCATGTACTGCAAAACTGTGGTCATGTTCACGCTATATCGGACAGCTTTAACGCGATCGGACGCATCGTCCGGGTTCTTTCTTGCCCGCGCGCTCTCCCTCTGTGCGTTCCCCAGAGCGCACAGAGAGCGCGCGAGCAAGTAAGAACACGGGTGATGAAGGTTCGCAGATCCGAAAAGCGACCGACACTAAAAGCCATCTGGCACAGTGGGAACACCTATCCGATATGTGACACTCTACTTTAGAGATGGGCGCGGCGTACCTTCGCTCCGTTACACCGAACACCGGCGAATCACCGTTCTTATGTCTGAACAAAAGCCCTATGCGGTACGGGTTTCGTGCTAGACTACGAGTAGTCCCCCATTTTTCCTCAGGGATAGTAGAGCGAACGAAACGCGAGCGCGCGTGAAAATCACCCCACGCGAGAAAAGGCGACACGCGGGAGGAGAGAGAAAAGTGTATTAGCCGGGAACCGGGCAATGAACTTTAACTCATTTTTTCTCTCCCCGCGGCGTGTCGCCTTTTCTCGCGTGGGGTGATTTTCAAGCGCGCTAGCGTTTCGCTCGCTCTACTATCCCTGAGGAAAAATGGGGGACTACTCGTAGTCAGGAGCCGATTACTAGTAATCGGCTCCTGTCGTAGTCTAGTTTCGTGCCGGCGCAAAAGCTATCAGGTGCATAGTCTGAAACTAGCCTGAATAAATAAGATGCTTTCAAAGCTTATATATCAAACGTGAAATGCTGCACTCTGTTTACAAATAAACTCATGCCGCGGAATAGTTAGGAAAAATGCCAAGCACTCTTTTAAAAATTTAAGCCCGAAGTAACGACGTGGGAGAGAAGGCCTTGGTGAAACAACTTCAATATCTTCGTCATAGGACTTCGAGCTCCCTCGCGGTGAAAACTGTATTTTAAGAGATTTAGTAAAAAAAAAAAATTGTCGAGCGATGACACTTAATTAAGGAAAAAAGCTGAGAGAGAAATCTTCCAAGAAACGTGCGAAATAGCAAGGACAATATGGATCATTTTATATTGGCATCTTTTATCAAACCCCCGCAGTTAATATGAACAAACAACGTGTTTTGAGTATTTTCAATGTTTGCTGATGCCAGTTAGATCATCATATGTATAAGCCTGACCTAAAATCTCCTGAAAAGTGCTTTTTCATCAAGAATAACAAGACAGTTTTCTTTTAGCCTGTGTAAAAGAGCAAGTTTCGTTTGGGGTAGTTTCCATCATCGCGTAAAAGTTGCTCGCAGGCTATCACCTCGCTGCGACATAACGTACGGCAAGGGAAGTTTTCTTTGTACAAATCAAAGACTAACTTGTTAGGAGTTAGAGTTACACGGTAAGCTTATATTGAATTACTATGTTATTGTCTTCATCTGTTCGATTTTTTCGTGGTAAAGGTTGTGAAATTCTTTGGCCAAGTAGTAAAATGGCGCCTCGACATTTTCCTGGTCTTTCTGGGGAGAAAAATGGAATTTAATAATAAAAACCCCAGAAATAGGCAAAAAGGTGAAGTTAGCACACTTGGTATAGAGCGCTGTTCAGCAGAGGGTAATGTTGAATGGCTTTGGTGACCAAGCAGAAATTACGGTTACATCTTAGTAGGAGACATAAAAAGCCAAAATTCAAGATTTTTCCAGACTCAAGGTTATCAAATAGGTGGTCAGTAGAGACCTTCGAAAACGCGGAAACAAAGCTTCTTACGTGGTGCGCGGCAAGCATACGGGCGAGATTGAATACGATTAGACCAAAACGAAAAAATTTCACTTATAAAGCGCTTGTTGGTATTTTTTTTTATTTTGTATTTTTGTGACTATGTATATATATATATAATGATTTTAGGATTTTTATGTTTTATTCAGACCTTTTTGAACCATTGTAAAACGCTTAGCACTGAAAAGTATAAGCGCTATATAAATATTTTATTATTATTATTATTATTATTATTATTATTATTATTGTTGTTGTTGTTGTTGTTGTTGTTGTAGCTTTAAATAAAAAAGACTTAAAGGGGTTGTGTCACGGCAGTCCAGATCATTTTGTTTAATCTTGCCAATTACTAGCCCTCCGAATCGCTATGGAACTTAAAGTAAGCAAAGAAATTACATGTAAATGGCAAAGTCAGAGATTCGAGACATACAAATATGTCTCCCGAGCATTATTTTTTTAACGTTGGAAACAGCAGAGATAAGCTTTGAAAAACTGTTAGGCTGAACAGTTTTCAAAAACCCTAATTTCAATCCGTTTCAATCTTCTTCAGTTTTGCCTGTCCGTGGCATCTGTTGTATCTGTTGTGTTACTTTGACATTCTTTTAATGTTTTAAGCGGTTATTTTTATGTTTCTCTTGGATTTAACGGGCATTTTGTAATACCTAATTTGGCTGAATTTCGTGACACAGATCCTTTAAAGACTTTTTACCATTTTTTCTACTCTTCATCTCTATTTTCCAGACTTTTTCCAGGTGTGAAAAATAGCTGGGCAAATTTCAAGACTTTTCAAGAATTCAAGACTCTTTACGAACCCTGCATAAAATAGATGGTCATGGGCGAAAATGATACTTACTGCAGAACATTCAAAGTATTCCAGTCCTTTAGAGCTGGCCTGGTCACGCCCTTGTTTTGTAGATATCACTCTTCTTTGTTTGAGGTCTGTCTTTATGGCCACCAAAGCCCCTTTAATAATAATAAAAAGACTTTTGTACAAAATAATCACCATTGTATATAGAAATGTGTTCCTATTGGCTTCACTCAGATCAAAATGGGTAGTTTGACCAGTGGTGGCGTCACAAAATGTCGGCTGTTTTCTCAGGGCAAACTTTCACATGGTGCAATTCTTTCCCAACATTTTTAAATAATAAAAGTTCAGAAATTTCTTGATTTTTTTTTCTATCAATGGCACTTTCATGCGTGAGAAAAGATGTAGATAGGGAAACAGCATTAATTATTGTATTTGCAATCTTACCAGGTAATGATTGATTCGGCCTCTTTGCTCGGCACCTCTCAAACCACTTGTTACAGGCATTGAATGATTGCTCATTTGTAACATCGTAAGCTACAAGGAACATGTTTGGCTGTGTCCACTGTAAACCATAACCGTATTGTAAATTACTTTAATCTTACACATGATAACAAAATAGAAAGTTACATCACCAGGCTCCAGTTGTTCAAAGGGTCGATAGCACTATCCACCAAAATGAATCACCATATTTCAGTGGATAAGTATTGGGAAAACAAATTGCCATATTCCACTGGATAAAAATTTATCCGCTGGATAGCCCTATCCACCATTTGAACAACAGGAACCAGATCTTCGACAGTCTATTATGACAGCACTTATAATAAGTTTTTGTCTTTTACAGCAAGGAGCCCAAAAGTGTCTGAACAATTCTAAAAGCCAATGCCAGGAAGTGTTAGAATAACTCAAACTAGAAGAATACATCACTTCTTTTTACACATTCGATGCACAAAAAATATATTTCAAGACTTAATTCTTATTCTTTTACAGTTTTTACATTTTTTGTGCGTTGAATGTGACTAAAAAGATGCAATGTCTTCTTCTAGTTTGAGTTAGCCCCAAAGTGTGACCTCCTTTAAGGTGGCTCAACTGGATTTTTTTAGGGGGATACCTCCCAAGTTTGAGCCTTAACTACGTCGGTATGAGTAAAGATGTAGAAAAAAAGGTTACCACAACTGTATTACGTAAAGATGAAAATTTCTTATGATCTGGGTTTTATTGCAATCGGAATCATTAACATGCTTATTCCGAATGTTTTTCTTTAGAAATTTCTAATACAACTTGTAAGGAGAATTTCTTTAACAATCATGACATTTTACCTACATGTACAATCACAGGGTCCAGAGGAGTTTCGTGTGAATAAATGAATTACTTATTTAAAGTTTCACCTTGAAAAATGTCAATGCCTGTCGCTTAGCACGATTAATTAGCCCAATGGGATCTTTATAAACGATTTATTCGCTTCTTATCTGACCCAGATCGACTTTTGAAAATCAATAACCGCAAGCCATATCCTCGCTGGCGCATGGCACGTCGCCCGAAGGGTGACCGAAGGCCGTTGCCCAAAGGGCGACCGAGGCACGAAGTGCCGAGTAAAAGAAAGGACAAGGGAGGAAACTTGTACCAGGTGACTTCGTTCGCTGTGAACCGCATCACTCGGTGACAGAAGTGAATGAGACCGGAAACGCAAAAGCAACAGACCGCTGCTTATTCGAGAATCAAAACATCAGCTGCGGAGGGAGTAAATCGATATACAGTAAATCGATATGTGTCATGAACTCTCAGTGTGAAGCATGCGGCTAAAATCCCTGCTAAAATCACAGTTGCTGTAGAACCTTCCAGACCATAATCTACCCAGCAGAGGAAAAAAACTTTATTGGAACGAGCAGCATTTTGGCATGAGGCAAAAGTCGTGTAGGCTTCCCTTTTATTGCTCCAATCTGGATTACATTAACGTCATTTCTGTCACCATCTGTTGCGGTGCACAGCGAACGAAAGCGCTATCTTGAAGCTGTAAATTTCGGTTGCCAAAAATGAATTTGAACGCTTTTTTATGCCGTTTTCCTACAGTATTTGGCAAATACACAAGAATTCTAGATCAGGTGAGTAAAATCAGGCGATTTCATTCAATTCCATTTGAGTTTCAGGGATTTGAAAATCGGCCCCAAATTTGTTTCCTCCCTTTCCGTATTTTATACTGTAAGATGATCTTGCGAGCCATCAGTCTCTTGGTTTGCGGTCTATAGAATGTGTAACGAAGCTGTAACGCAATCAATGAACCTATTTTTTCAGAGGTTTTCGACGGGTTTTGATGTTCTAATGACAAACACATCTCCTCTGGACCCTGTGGTGCAATTGTACCAAACATTAAATTGCTTATTCCCATGAACTTTGTTTAATTTCAGCAAATACAGGGTGTACTTTCAAGGATTCATTCCCATTGAAAATTGTATTTTGTATACAGCATTTAATGCTTCTTTAGCCAAATTTAAACTGATTCAGTGAAGAAATTATCTACATCACTTCTCAAAGCAATTTCAAGCTAAGATTTGAAGAAATGTTTTTGAATTTTTGCACGAAATATGCATGTGCATGTGCTTTTTTCGGCCACATTTTTCCTGGCCATTTTGTATGTTTTTTAGTATTTATTGCCATTTTCTTTTATTTTCTCTGCTCTTTCTCAGAAATGAAGGCCAAAACTGTTTGTGCTAGAGCTCAGGCAACATTTTTACAGTCATCTGGCCATTCAGTCAAAGAAGTTGCCAAATTGTTGAAGAGGACCCAACAAGGGTTAACAAGATACACTTATGAAGCTCGCACATTCTATAGCCCGCCACTTAGAAAAAGGCAACAAAAAATAAAGGAGGCCATTCTGGTAATTAATATGTCAGCTGGCTATTCAATGTAAAATGAATGAGTGATAACATACTTAATTTTACAAAAGGTAGTTTAAGTAATCAATGAAATTTAAGTGAAGAAAAAATTGGAATGAACTTTGAAACACCCTGTGTAATGTGAAGAGAAGATGGATACTGATTTTATTATTTGCGGTTTAAAAAGTGGCACTTACATGCTGTTGTACAATGTCTGCAAACATTTCCTTTCCTGCTGAATCATAAATGTACAGTTCCTGAAAACAAAGACGAGATTTAAAAATAATTTTAGACGAAAGCAACCTCTCTATATTCTAATACAAACTGGAATTAACCAATCTGCAATCAAGCCAAACTTGAGCAGCCGGGTTTCCTCACCAAAAGGAACTTTATTTACCAGGCAAACCTGTTTTGGGGTTAGAAACATGGCTTGAAAACAACTTGAATTCCAGCTTGTCCTTTGGACCAGCAGCTCTCGCATTTTGCTTGCCCAATGCCACAAAGAATTAAATTTAATTTAATTTAATTCCACTTTATAACAGAAGTTACCAAACAACTGAATGGAAACAGATTGATTTGATCAAAAATGTTCTTTGAAAAACACATCAAAAGTATATGATAGTGGACTGCTAGCAGTCTGCCTTTTCTCAGAGGTCTGTCAAGGTCTTCAGAGCGACAGTGAGTGCATTGGGAGGACAGTCGAGGACTTTTCTTTTTTCTTTCTTTCTCCTTGGGCTTATGCCCTCCTTTCTCATGGCTTGCACATGTTGCCATGGTAGCTTTGAAGAAAATAAGAGACTACTTGCAGTCAAAGTTGATAGAGATGATGAAAACTTACAACACTGTCCGAGGTCTCAGGGATATTGACTGACTTTACACAAACTTCAACTCCAGTTGTCTAAAATAATACAAGAGCAGCTATTCATTAGTAAAATCATATGCCTATAGGTAAAGTAAAGAATGCAATGCAGGACAAATTCTGATTTCAACATTATTATGTCATGTAGCCATGTGACTTGGGTAAGCCAATCGAGTCAGATTATCTTCAATTTACTTTTCCTGTAAGTTTTTGAAGCATTAACTTTGCACTACAGTAAACTCTTGAAATTCCAGCTGCCTTTTGTGCCATGATTAAGGCAATTACAATCTTTGAATAAAACCAACGTCTGTACATAAGCTGATTTTTATGTACCATAACCATTTATCGTTCTAGTTGGGGCAATCATACAAGATAATACAGCCAGGGTGATTACATGGAGACCAGCCTAAGTATAGACTTCAGTTTTATGCTGGAGACCGCGATCGCCTTAACTGTCAAGATTTAAAGTAACTGCAGTATACCTGGCCACTTAAAGGGTGGACACAAAAAACATGGCTACTTGAGTACATTGCTGTGTGGCATTAAATGCTGTGGTGGGCTTAAATAAGGAGGTATATACGTGGTGGCTGCGTGGCTTTGTGGCTATGCGGTTGATGTGGCTATGTAGCTACATGGCCTCATAGCTCTGACTACGTGGCTATGTGGCTAAGCTGCTGCATGGCTTCATGGCTAAGTGGCATGTAGCACATATCCACTGTTTTAAAGGTATAGCCTTTTTTGAGTGGCCAGGTATTCTGTAGTTAATACATTAAATCCTGACAATCAGGGCGATTGCGGTCTCCAGCATAAAACTGAAGTCTGTAAATAGGCTAATCTCCATGTAATCACACCCTATTTTCTGTATGATTCCTCTATTCTTTAATTGAAATAATTGCCAACTTAAGCATTAACAGAGGAAATATAAAACACTACCTGCTTTGACACTAACTACTTTAGATACATGTACCTTTAGCAGAATAAATTAAGTTTAAGAACGTACCATAGTGTAGTTTTTAGGAAAATGCGTCCCATCACTATGGAAGGCTTGTGTCAGTGCACTCTTTCCCACACCAGGGTCACCTATGGGACAAAATCAACGGGCTTTTTACAACGTACAATGAGGTTAAACAAAATATTTCTTAACCTAAAAAGAAACAAAACTTATTCCGCTCCAAAAAAGCGTCATTACAACCCCTGTGTGATTAAATTTACAGCTTTAGCAGAGACGAGTATCAAACCTAAATTCAGTATAAATAATGAATGATTTCTCGAAATGAGGAACATTTTATAACTATATTTCTTACCAGCAAGAATTACTTGAGCCCGAAGAACAACCATCTTTATTTTTTGTGAGCCAGCTGTATGTTTGGTTAGCGTTCAGCTAGTTGCCACGACGACGACGTTCTGTGTCGCCAACAAGAGCTGGAAGTGATGTCGATTTGAGGAGATGGAAGCTTCTTTATCTACTATTTACCGTGAATTTCCGTCGTTTTAAAATCATTTATGAAGCAATTCATACTTTAAAGAAGTCTCCGTCAATGGCAAGCATTTATTTGCCTCCGATTGCCCGCAAGAAGAAGGTAGACGGCTGCCCGCGGTAGGTTTCAGTAGGTTTTGACTCTTAAATATTTAATTTAATCATGACCAATCTATGGATTCGCAAGACAAACAAAAATGTTTGTGGTCAGATAGACAGTTATTCTTCTCTAATTAAGTGTGTTTCAAGTCAAATATAAAGGTTACCACAGGATCGTACTGAAAACGCACTGAAAACTGTACAACAAATCAGAACAAGTGTGTTTTCACATGTAGGCTTCGATGAAACATAGTTAAGCTTACTTCAGCTGGTTTTGGTTTTCTGAAAGAGAGTTTAATTTAGGATAGTAGTTGTGTGTTGAACGCACAGCATGATTAAAAGTCAAGTGTATAGACGGCTGAAATTCACTGATCAATAAATCTGTTTAAGGTCTTGTCAAAATCCTCTCCCTGCACCGGATGAAGATTCGATGAGCTTCTTGGTTGAACTTGTTCTCTGAATTACGGATAGATACAAATCAGCAGTGCAGTGACTCAAGTGACTTATCAGAGAACTTGATAATTCATTTAAATGTATCCCCTGATCATAAAATTCCATTTTATATTTCAGGCATGACACCTTCAGAGTTTTTGCCGATCTTCAAGATGACAGTCCATTGTCAAGTAAAACAAGTTATGATTCACATTATATAGGACACACATTTAAACCAGCTCAGCAAAGTGTAATGTCTGGACAGAACAAACCCCACCCTACTAATGTGACATTTCTACGTCAGAATCCACGATTTATTTGTGAGCCAATCTGCTATGTAAAAACGTCTATGAAACCTCCAGTTATTTATCCATCCTGGTGGCCTGATGAAGTGCCAGAGCAACAAACTAAGGTACCTGAACGCAGCTCTGATTCAACATCACGCACAGATTACCCTCCTCCACCTATTCCTCATGATCGAATCACGCGGTACAGCAGTAATCTAGCTATGCAAGTAACACCAGCTGGGATTTTTCATCAGGGACCTCATAAGTCGGGTGTGTATACACCAAAGATAGTGGAGAAGATCTCTTACGAACATCAGTTTAATTCGAGGTTGGACCCCAGCCACCCTGTAAGAAGTCGCCGACATGGGAGCTTCATATGGAAAGTGATCTCTGATGTTGGACGACCAGGCAGAAAAAACAGCAAACCTGTTGAATATGCATATATTAAGGTTGACCCTAGTGAAAGTACAGTATCATCTGAAGTTACCTGTACTGAAAATGCTGATCAGCAAAGACAAACGAAGGACTTAATGCCTGAATCTGAGGAAACACAGTCAACTTCAAATGAGGGTTGATCTCCTGACAAATGTATAATATATGCGCTATTGTCAAAGTATAAAATACATTTGGCAATAATAATATTTATTTTTTATTTTTTTGTAATATGTTTTACAAATTTGCACAGTTGATGTTTGTGGCTGCATTTGTATAGTGCACCTAGACCATTTTGAATCCTAATGAAAGCACTGAGGTGTGTTTTTACCATGAACACCTAAACTAAACCATATTATTTTCAAGCAATTGAGGAGGGATTTTATTTTTTATATTAAATTAAAACTTTTAGTGTAATATAAAGTTGAGGTGAAAACAGAGTATATAATAAATCTTGCATTTTAAGTGCAGAATTTGAGATTCTCACAAATGAACGGTTTGTGTCTGCTTTGTTTGTTACCACAAGTCTTGTCAGGGGGACTGACAAGGCTTGTTTTCCCAAAGAGTAATCAAGCCCATCCCTAAGCTCAAAGGTTTTTAGAGGCGCGCATAATTTTCCAAAACATTGCTATAAACACGCCTGGGGGCAGGTGGGGGGGTATTACTTATAACGCTCAGGGGTAGGCTGTTCTAGTTCCTAATGGTATTAGGGAAAAACGAGTATAAGTGATACTTTGTTTCAGATGCCGGGACTATACGAGAGTCTGTGCGTATGCCTGCTGGATCGGCCGGCCGGCCAGCTCGAGATATTTCTGTTGGTCTATCACAACTAAGTTACAGTGCATTTTATGCAGCATTGTTAGTCTAGTCCTTTTTCTACGTAGTTCTATTTAGTTTCCCAATCAAGTTGTTTCAACATTTCGGTGACACTGGCACTGACCTTTCGTAACAATTTAGGACATAACGTGCTGCTCTACATTGCACCATTTCAACTCCATCCCTATTTTGTTTGGTATTCGAGTTAAGTTCTGCTTAAGAGAGAATTTCCTGTCTGACTGACCAAGCCTCAGTCATCATTCGCTCCCTGTCCATCTTCGTATACTCCAACATTAGCATTTGGTCGACCAATCACCAGCCCTCTCCGCGGAAATCAACAGTCGCGAAAGCAGCGCCTTTTACTTTGAAAAACTAATGTTTGGAAGAAAAAAGACAAAAAAACGTTGCGAGAATAGCGTCTTGATTCTTTGCGCAGATTGTAATCTTTCAACTATCGCATTTTTCCCCATTTGTTTAGTTGTTCTTTTTGTTTGTTTCCTTTCTTTTTTGTGTTTATCATTCTTAGACATTTTTTAAGGTACGGGCAGAGAACATGCACTTGACGAAATTGGCTACTCGGACTGGTTAAAAAAGAGACGGTGAGAATTATTTTTTAGCCAATATCATCGTGAAATCAGGTGCATCCGTGTACGTCGGTACTGATAGCCCATAAGTTTTTTTTTTTTTTTTTTTTTTAATTTCAACGAACAATGCTACTTTTTTTTTTTTTTTTTTTAANACGAAACATCATGCATTGCTGCAGCAAAGTTTTATTGGCTCTTGGTCTGTCAAAGGACAAACAAGGTTACTGTAATTGAAGTTAAGTGTCAAAGTTTATTAATATACCGGAAAAAGTCTAAGAATGAATATGACTTATGTGGCTGATAAATATTAAAACTTACGTATTTGATTTCCAGCTGTCCTCGGCTTTTTTTTTTGTTTTTTTCCTTTTTTTTTTTTTTTTTTGTTTTTTTTTTTTTTTTTTTTTTTTTTTTTTTTGTTTTTTTTTTTTTTTTAAAAAAGATACGGTGAGAATAATTGTTTAACCAAAAATTTTTTGAATGCGGGTGCATCCGGGTAAGAGGGAAATGATGGCCCTTAATTTTTTTTTTTTTTTTTTTTTTTTGAAGTTCAACGAAAAATGCTACTTCTTGTTTTTTTTTTTCTAAAAGGTCACCAAGATTTTCAGAAAAATTGTCACGTGACATATCACGTTACTTTCTAAAACGACTTCATAAGGAGAAGAGGTCTTTCTTAAACTTCCAATGAAACAGAGTCTTTCCTAGCCTAACTAAACGCATAAGACCCAGACATTACTTGAGATCTTTTAATTTCTGAAGTCTAAACAATACAGTAAAGCTATGAAGGCGTTAACTATTTCTTTATTATAGCTACGCTTTTCTTTTGTATATTTTGGGGTCTAGGCACGTCGTAGATGGTTTCGTTTTTGCGGGTCTCATCGATCTCTTTACTTCTGTCTTAGTAAAGAAAGATGAACCATGAATGTCGCACCAAACGGATCCACTTTAAAATGCTCTCATAAATATTTCATGCCCAATCTAAGGCAGAAAATGAAACGAAAATTATAGCTCTGTTTTTGTGTGCACCTCAATAATATCAGCGGAATATGATGAAGCAAAACAGCACTCAAACATCAACTGGCCCTCAATATTCTTCTAGAGTTTTCATTCGATTTCATCCTATTTTGTTTTGACCTTTTAGTAATTGACAGATAAGTCAATATTATTTGTGAAGGAAAATTGAGGAGTTGTTTATAATTTCCAACAGCAGGTGGGTATTGCATGCGTTGTTTGCTCGACGAATTAGCTTGGCCTTCTTGCGACCTATTTCTTGGGTATGATTGAACGTAGAATCCATCCAGGCTTAACAGATCGAATTTGTTCTCTCCAACAACTAGCTAAGAAAAACGTTAAAAATTCTTACTACGTTTCTCAGTAAAAATGCGAGTTCTCAAGTAACCTTGTGCGCGCAAAATCTGTTTATTCTTAGAGAGATTTATATTATTTTGGAAGATTGTTTTACAAACATTCAATATTCTCAAGAGCCATTATGGCTCTTGATATTGTCTTGAAGAGAGAATGAGGGAGGCGTTGGTTATCTTTTGCGGGTGGCTTCATATTGGATTATTAGAATATGAACGTTGTTGACCGTATTAAGTAGATTACGAACTATACAGAATGCGTAGCTGATATATTTGATCATAAATAGTCGCATCTAAGTTGCCGCCAAGACTGACAAGACTGGACAAAAGGATAATCGTATTTTACCAAATTTAACTTGAATATGAAAACCCTTTTAAAAGACACGTTGTATTAAATATATTGAACCTATTTACAGGTTGATGACAAATACTAAGCTAAGTCCAAGAACAGAAAAGTCGCCTGAGAGTGTCTTTCACAGCTTGCTTTACTTCTCTGATCTTCCAACAGTACAACAAAGGGTTCAAGGACGAATTTAACAACACTAAAGTAACTGTAAATTGCCCGGCCAAGTAAACTGATGAAGTCGACCCGTTTTGACGTATTAAAGATTCGGCTATAAAATGAGGCAGATAACAAATAATCAATGCTACCTGCACCCAAAGTGCGCTGTGGACTCCTTTTCTGTAGCGGTCTACGTTAAGTGGAATAACTTGGCTTGGTTGACTTTGAGAGGCGTGTCCATGGACATGAATCTTGTAATGACGCAGCGAGTGAAAAATTTTTGTGTAAGAAAAAATTGAGGTTATCATACAAAGAGACGCAATTATGAAAACACATACATAGCTGACTAAA